TATATATATTATTAAGAAGAAAACTGTTACTTAAACATTACGAAGTTAGAATGTGTTAATTACTGCTTAATGAGGGTGTATCAGTGGGGCAGGAATGTGTAGAAATGGTTTTAATTATTTTAGGTCTCCTTTAAATTATCCGCCTTAGGATGACTTTTCATCACGATAAACGTTTTAACTGGAAATTGCCTTGACCCAAATACGTAACTAATTAATACAATTTATCATGTTAGATGGCTAAATTTAACAATGCCATGTGATTAAGGACTTATCGGTGATATATTTCGTTGTTGAGAGAGATGCGTGGTAGTTTATTGGTTCGTTAAGCAGTCCGTTTAAACTCCCTTGTCTTGTGTAATTCATTCCAGAAAGTCCCGTCTTGTTTTTTCCAGATACATGCCCCCGGTAACGCCATCCCTTTGGAAAAATACTCGTCTGGCAGACCGATTTAGTACAGTGTGTCCGCAAAAACCTCCTGACATAGGAAACCGCACCGAGGCGCTGTTGGAATTCCCTCGGGGCAGATTGCTTTTCCTTGAAAAACTTCTCCCCTTGCTGGCTAATCAGAGCGAGGACTGCCTTTACCTTAACGTTTACGTGCCTCGCCAAGGTAAGGGTCTTATTTGCACTTGATATCACCATCTGCATGTCTGATTTACATGTGATAAAATAACAAAAAATTTTTTTATCTAAATCTAAACGAGATGCATACGTGATATTTTCCAATAAAATTCCTCATGTGTTTGTCAACCACCAGCACCACTTTAGTTAAGGGAAACCTTTGAGGTTATAATGAACCAGTCAGAGTGAATACCGAATATAGACATTAAACTTTTTTGCAGTTGTACTTTCAACTGGAACAAGCCAAAATTCCTATTAAATTATAACGCCTTAGATGTCGAAAATTGCCCACTTGTTTAGTTTTATTTCCTTAGTCGACGTTGTAATCGTTGCCTAATTTCAGAATGTCCTATCGTCTGATATCTCAACTGGACAATTTCAGTTCCAAAAATAAAACGCGTTTTCTTGCTGTCTTTATTCGTTAATATTGTCAGATGTTTGTAGGCATTCCAACATACATAGTAGTAAAGAAGACTAGAAGGTATATACTGGATCATTCTAGAACACGGAAATAGTTGTCGCGAGATCGTGTACAATAACCTAATTGTTAATACAATAACAAGTTCGAGGCGATACAAAGTGAGAAGAAGTGACAAAGCGTTCATACAATAATTAATTGATAACTAATAATTAATAATAAAAGGTGTTTAAATACGTGACAATATTATTTAAATTACTTGTACAATTATAATACTTTAAAGGAAAAAGCGGCCAAAGAAATGTGAATTTTTTGGTTTACCTGCATGGTAATCGTAAAACACAGACTGAAACACCTGTGCTGATTTTAGCCTTTACTCTTGTGGAATGTAATTTGATCTGACCATAGTTGGTATCTTTTTCACGGAAAACCATTCTGCAGAACAAAAACGGGAGTAATAACATTAAAGGGATCAAAAGCTGGTAACTGAAATATATACACATTAATTTAATACTTGATAAGTTTAGTTTAAAGTTAAGACTAGAATAAGATAAAAAATGAAAAACAGAGAGTTAAAATGTATGTACGTTGGGAAATTTCGTTGCTTAAATCCTCTTAATTTCCAATTGTTGTTTTAATCTGGGTTCACATGGGGATCATAAGTCTCAGGTAAATTTACGAGACGGCATAACAAAGCGATGTGTTTGAAAAGCCAGCACCTTTTGTTAAGGTAATAGTAAATCTGCAGTGTCTGCTTAGCTTAAAGGAGATATAAATTTCAAAAGTATAAATAGAGGGATAAAACAAAACCGAGACCCTCATAAATATTCAGAATGCTTAAATACGTAACCCGGTCGGATTTAGATGTACATCAAATGAAATTACATAGGTTTTTTTTAACTAAATTTTCCCTGAAACTAGTACCTAATAACTGAGACACATCAACTACCAATCGATGTAGGTTTCTCAAAATTGCATAGGTTGCATACGTATGCACTTTTGTCAAATTAAAGGTGCTGAGTCGTAACTGATCAGTTACGATTCAGGACCTGCCCAGTCACCACTGAAGATGCCGTCAGCAAAGAACGGCTGGAAAAGCAAGATTCCACGGACCACGGTCAAAAAGCCCGGAAGAAGACACAGCATAGATAGACCCGGCCGTGAATGCCTAAGAAATACAGTAAAGGTCTGGTTCATTAAAATGGATACGGAACGATTGGCTATAATCATGGTCGATGCGCATCCTAGAAGGCGTCAAGTAGCACTTCCTATAGATCCTCTATCACGCCGGTTTGGTTTTATTAATGACTCCAAAATGAATTCAACGTTGCCAAGCTATGCGTACCCAAGAACTACCGGATCCTTAGAAATCGCAGGACGTTGTTACTGAAAGTAATGTCTGTACAGCTACCAGGAAAAAATTAAGTTAGGGCGAAATGTCTTCTTCAGGATCCTTTCAGGAATCATGCGCATAGATGGGTAGCTACTGGGATGAGAAAGATAAGATGAGTGAAGTAAAGACAGAAGAGAATTAAATTGTGGAATATTACTAACCCAGCAGAAAAACTTGAAAGAGTGCAGACGAACCCGTAATCGAACCAGTGTCCTCTCGAATGCTAATCAGTCGTCTAAACCTGTAGGCCATGCCGCTCGATGAGCTACTAAAAGTTAAGCTTCAACTTTTGGGTATTTCATTCCCACTCGTCACTAATGTTGGTGGGCGGCCAGTCCCTTCGGACTACGTTGGAAGGATAGCCTCTTTTCATGAATCGTGGGAATTGGTGGATGGTGGTTGTTCGGGTGAGAAAGATGAGACAGACGAAATGAAGACAGAAGAGAATGAAGGATTATCTGTGGAATATTACTGCCTCAGCATTTGCCTAGGTGGTCCAAGGAATCCACAGAAAAACTTAGACCAAGGCACACGGACCCGGAAACGAACCGGTGTCCTCTTAAATGCTAATCAATCGTCTAAACCTGTAGGCCATGCCGCTGGGAGAGCTATCAGACAGCAGTATCTCTTTAAGTGCGGAAAACCGTGATGTATTTGTAATTTTCGAAATACTGACATATCTACTTTTATCGAAACTCATTCGACGATCGGTGTTTAAAAGAATACGAATATGAGATACATTTTGGACACCTTTGCTGGCTGACGGCCGCCCCTTCCACCTCTTTCTGGTCATTTTTAAACAAACTCAGTTATCTGAACACATTATAATATGGAAAAACTGAGCCGTAATCACTAAGTTAATCAAAATAAACCTGTGGTAACTTCCAAGTATGAGGAGTCACCGTAGGCATTTTCAATCATTTGCTGAGTGCCGATGAGATTTCTGTTCAATTTAACACAGAATTTAAATGGGTGACGTTGCTCGATGGTTTTCGCCACTACGCATCGGGACTTAAAAGGAGGTTCACAGAAATAGCGGTCCTAACCCTCATAAAGTTCAAAGCAGGTCGATTCTGGAAGCTTTTGCGCTGAAACCACTAAAAGAGGCGGAAAAATATGTTGCTTTATTTTCTGGACACATCCTGTATGTTATTATCAACGTCAAAGCTTTTCTGCAGTTAACAAATATTTGCCTAAAGCTATAATTTAATAATTATAATCGATGACTTGTTTTTCACAAAACTTCAAAGCCCATTGTACGACACAAGCCGATGAGGTATTGTTTGTTTTCAATTGATCGCATCTGTTGACATTATTATATTCAAACTCATGTATTGTTTGGTGTCTAACATGTAAATTGAAAATCTATAATGAATCGAATTTACAAAATGGATTGTTTTTTACGCGTATTACCAATTAATCGAGGATTTTCTTGTTTTGTTTTCTCCAACAATTGAAACAAAGCTAAACAAATGCTGGTTAATCTGTAGCTCATTTGTCATAAAACAAAGAAGTACTCGATTTATTCCGGATCATATATTAACTCCCAAGTGCCAACTAAATGTGTCTGTTGCAATCGATTAGTTGATAACTGTATTCAATAGGTAATGAACTTATTTTTTACACACTGATAGAGGAGCGTTAACGCGTTTCCTTTCATAATATAAGAATCAAAGCCAAAATGGGGACAAAACACACATTATTTGTAGTATTTCATTGCCTCTTACTAAGTATAGAGCTTCAAACTCATTTATTACTTCTGTAATGATCACATTGCAGAAGTGGTCAAAAGAAAATGGTAGAAAGTCAACGGGAATTTATCGCCAAAGGACCTATATTGTTGGGGTCGTAACCGCCTAGTTTTTGTAAGGCAGCCATTTCAAGTTTTTACCTACAGAAAATGATGTGATTGCGTGATTCGGTAATAACTCGTAACGCAGACATCTAGGTTTTCCGATATTTGGCGTTCCAGCTCGTAAACAAGCCTGAGGGTGCGGCGGTGTTTGCGTCTGTTAAACTCCATCACACACTTTATCAATCCAGAATTAAATCGCCCTTCGTTCGCATTCACTTTTGGAAAATTTACGGTATAAACTACGAGAGCCAGATAACCATTTGTACTAATATTTGCTTAAAGACTTAAGATTAGTACTTTGAACAACTCAAAATTAGGTGTATCAAGGTGTACAATAAATAACAATAAACAATTTCATAATTTATGTGGCTCAATCTCGTAATCACACCATTTTCCGTAAAAAAAACTTCAACGGGCTGCTATTGGGATCCGTCAAATGGGCATACACCATCTGGTGGCAAAATTTATAACCCGAATGAGGGAAAAATTTACACAGGAACTGTGCACGCAAATTGTAAAATTGTTTATTAAAATAATAAAACACGTTAAAAAAGTAAAAATCTTTTTGATGATGGAATCGACGAAGTTTTCTTCTAAAGTTAAATCAAATAAAAAGTTAATATGTTCGGTGAAAAGCTGCAATAGCACTTCAGACATAGATCTTCACCCTTCACCTACATTAACTACTTTCCAATAAAAACTAACCGTTTTATATATGTAAAAAATATATTCGGAAAATTAAAGAAAAAAGTAAACTAATAGAAGCTTGGATGAAAGCAGTAGGTATCAAAGAAGTGAATTCCGGAATAAAAATTTGTTCATGTCATTTTAATGCACATGATTATATTTCAGCAAGTATTTACCATCAGCCATAACCTTAATATTTAAAACTAGAATTATACTAAAATAATAAAGTGAGAAATTATTTATCCCTGTGTAATTGATTTAACACAATTCTAATGATACGATATAAGTATTTTGAGGTTAAGAACCTACCTGCTGCAATACAACAAAGTTGCAATAATGTGTTTGCAACGTTCTCTTAAATCGGCTTTGCATGTGCAAGTCATTGATATGATATTGCTTAAATCACCCAGAATCACCTCACCAATTATATAACGTGAATCACTTTTTAAATCCGAAGTTTGTGAAAAGTAGGCAGTAAACTTGACGGAATTTGAAGGCTAGCTTCCGGATTTGTTATTTCCGAATTTTATAATGTGATTGGCATTAAAGATACACTCACCTTCAACGAAATTTCCTTTCCGAAGCTTTGTGTCAGCCCAATCACATATTGTGTCAATACTTATCATTTTATCGTAA